TGGTAATATTAACCGCAATTTTGTTGACATTAATCAAACTTTTGGTTGGTGAACATGCTTATGTTCTGCACAGATGCTTTTTCATAATTCGGAGATAAAAAACAAAAAANTATTAACCGCAATTTTGTTGACATTAATCAAACTTTTGGTTGGTGAACATGCTTATGTTCTGCACAGATGCTTTTTCATAATTCGGAGATAAAAAACAAAAAATTTTACTATCATTTTAACAGGTTGCCTCTGTCGGGATTAGCAAATAACAGTAAGCATCTCTACATACTCAGCTACAGCCAGGCAACTTGTTCAACTTGAATAACATTTTTTACAATCGGTATATTAACCATGAAAAACGAAACAATAACTCGGTTGAAAAATCCATTGTACTTTTGGATCAGTGTGAAAGAAAATTTCTATCCCACTTTTTGTGCGTCATTTTATATGAATTTTTGAAAAGAAATTTTTAAGCCTTATGTTGAAGGAATCTAATTATATACCTTTGGAGCTAAAAGGCCAATATTTTTCATTTTGTACCTATGCAACGGCAACGTCACTATGCGGTGGTGAGTTTTCGTTAAGACGCGAATCCCATAAGGTAGATCGTGCTTGCATGAACCTACGTCTACTCTACGTCGTTGACTGTTTGCGCTTTAAAACCAAATAATCAATTCGGTCCCAAAGGTTTAAAGTTATATCCCGCTTGACGTAAGTTAACTAAGAAGACAAAAGAATGAATATTTCTAAATGATATTTTTGTTTTCTTGAAAAAGTCCTCTCTGTTGTAAGCATTATTTTTAACTCATTGTTTGGGGTAGTGTTACATCACTTCGCATGAAAAATAGCGTTATTTACTGTTTTTTTTTTTCTTTCAGCCATTATCGTTGGCTCATATATCATCATTATTATCATAATAAGCCGTAAGAGTAGTCGTGGTTTTAACTTACAAACTTATTGCCAATTGGTTTTTAATTTACACGCATGATGTCACGATCATTTCGCGATCTTGAACATCATATCTTTATTACGAGAATTGCTCATTCGCTTGTAACACGGCCCATGGCATAAAGAGGTGCGTCATTGGATTTGACTAACCAAAAAATTTATTTTTGTTATGTGGCATCATGCTACGAATTTTTTTGTTTTTTGTTTTTGTTTTTGAAGAAACCAATTCTCATCTTTGAAATAGTTGCATTATTAGGCGACAGTATTTCAAAGTGGAATATATTTTTTCTGCACTGTAATGCAATGCTATCGCTTGTTTTGTTACTTTATTGCCTTAATAAATTTTATCTACTTTTATTACTTACTTGCCTGCCATAAAATGTTTCTTGGTGTGTAAAAATGTCGCTTTTTTCAATCGTAAAGTGTGCTCATGAGTAAAGGATGATCTAATTCTGGGACATTGATCTCAAATCATCGATCTGAGAATGTCAATTCAATGGTGATTTGAGTAACAATGAATATTAAGGAATAGTGAATGCTAGCAATTATCCACTACGTAAAAAATTTCAAGTGAGCTAACTATGTATGTAACGTGAGCGTCGAACAGAAAATTTCATAGAATCAACCGGGAAATTTAAGAAAAAAATCAAAGGTTTAGGTGAAATGCAATATTAACTAAGGCGAGATCTAGGTCCATTTATGGCTCTATGGAGGTGGTGGATTGGCCGCGCGAAGGCGGCTGATGGAACTGCTATGGAACTTTGCTTAAATTGCAATGTCTCTTAAAACATCGAAGCACAAATTCCGAATGCCTGCCCACAAGAAGTTGCCCTAGACCTTATATTCTTTTATGAGGCCCATTTTTTACTTCGTTTCTATACGGTATAGTAGGTAGGTAGGTAGATGTGGCTGCCACTGCTGCTCAGGGACACACATAGGCCACGAAATAAAGGCCCGTTGTAATACCACGACTAAGAGTTTTCACTCCCCCTTGCTAACCCATTTTGAATCCTTGACGAAACTCGTCAGGGTTTAAATCTCCCAATTTGTCAAGGTCACCAAAGAAAGGAGACCCCAGAAATCGCAGTCTGCTTCTCGATAATGCCGGGCATTTTCAGAGAAGGTGAAGAACTGTCTCCACCTCCTCCTTTAGAGCACTGATTGTATGAGATACATCCTCCCTATTTAGAGACTATAAGCTTCGAAACCTTTTTCGATCCCACCTAGGCCAAGTTTGCCTAGAAATTCGACAGGTCGTTATTTGCATTCATCTCTCGCTCGCGCGAGCATAGATAAATTCACTTAAAAGCAGCTTGCAAGTGGCGAAGGGCATACCAATGCGTTCTTTGTCCGGAAGAATCAAAGCAGAGACCACTGCGCGTGGACCATCTTGATACATCGCGAAGTGCCCTCTGCAACAATTCGCACAGAGTTTGCGGGAACTTCCCCCTATACGCGTTGGCTACGTCATCCGCATAAGCAACAACCTTCCAAAGTTCCAAAGGAGTGGCGAGAGCACGCCACCCTGTGCCCCTTGTCACATATATTGAAGGCGAGTTCTCATCGACGTTTGCCGTGATCACCCTGTCCAAGAGCATTTGCCTTATAAACTCCACCAGTCCCCTCAAGGCATGTACCTTATATTGCTAAACGCTGCCTCAAAGCCTAGAAAAGCTACAAGACAATAGTCTTTGTAACTGAAGAATTTTCAATAAACTTTACTAGGCTATGTAGCGCTGTCTCCGTGGACTTACCCTTCATATAGGCATGTTGATTGTTAGACAGTAGTCGACTATCGATGTTGTAATATTACGTTCTCATTGAGCCATTAACTCGGGTTTAACGTTTTCAGTTTATGAACTACTGTCAAGCGTTCACATTGGGGTTTTTAAGATACTCAGAGTTTATTTTAACATTTTTTTGTTTATAAGATATGTACTTACTAACTATCCTTATTAGGATTTTAAGCACAAAGGAAGAAAGGCTAATAGGTCTGTGATCCTTTGGATTTGTGTGTGCAGCCTTACCGGCTTTAGGAATAAACACCACGGAGACAAATCTCCATGCTGTCGGTATGTAGTTTAGCTTAAAACAGGCGCATCCGGCCCCGCCGCTTTATAGGACTTAAAGCTTTGTATCGCCCAAGCAATCCCCTCCCTTGGAACAGGCACGTTTACTACCCCGCTCGAAGGAAGGTGTAAAGAGCCCCCTGTTTGCGAACTCCCTTTGAAAAGTGTGTCCAAGAGCAGTTCTACCGTTTCCATTCCCGTCGTGGACCAGGAACCATCTTGATTTTTTTTGGTGATGCAGTCTAATATCATTTAATCATTCATTAAATTTTTAAAGTATTTTATTTTTTTTTCTGTTTTAATTAAATTTAATTTTTCTTTCTTAATTTAATTTTCTCTTAATTTTATATGCGATTCTTTTAAAAAGGATTTTTTAACTTCAATTCATTTTTGGAAACCTATTTTATTTTTTTCTTCTTATAGTTCAACTTTCTTTTAATTTTTAGATTTAATTGTTTTAAATAGAAATATGCAATTTCTAATTAAATTTAATTTTTAGAATCATAATATATTTATTTCGTCTTTTTTAAATTTCATTTTTTTTTTAATTTCATTTATTTTTCTTTTTCATATATTTTTTTTAATTTCGTTTATTTTTCTTTTTTATATATTTTTTTAATTTCGTTTATTTTTCTTTTATATATAAATTTTTTTAATTTCATTTATCTTTCAAAAAATTTTTTTATTTTTTTTTAATTGCATTAAATTTTTTCAAAATATTTTGTATTTATTTTTGCTTTATTTTTAATTTACTTTTGTTTATTAAGTTGTATTGTATTAAAAAGAAAAAACATACATTTTTTTTTAATTTAATTTACTTTTTAAGAAACATATTGCTAAAACGCGAACAGCATAACGGTAAGTTCTCCTTGTTAGCAGATCTTTCAATTAGTTTTTCGAAAGACAGTAAAGAGCTTTCAAGATAGTTGCCAGAATTGACAATTGTCTTACGAAAGACTTTTGTGTTGTTGAAAGGCAATTGCCAGAATTGGCCTGTAAGTCTGTCTACACCTGTAGGCGGATTCCAACTTTCGCTATCGCTAAAATATGCTAAAATTCTAAAGCTAAATATTTTTTCGAATTTATGGCGATCTCCGAAAATTGCGATTCTGTCCTTCCGGTCGCTAAAAATTGCCTAGCTTAAATTTTCGTACCTTATCCGGCCGCAAGTGTCGCTGTGCAGCTACATTTTTTTAGCAGCAATTATTTTTAGTCTCAAATATTAAAAAAAACACTGTGCGGAAACACATTCTGTTGAGTGTATGCATGTTGTAAACAATACACTCGCTTTTGATCTCTTACCGCCAATCGCCAAATGTGTTGTGACCACCGAGCTGCAAATTGCACTCAGGGCTGTCAGTTCTTGTAAGCAAACACCGAGACATTGAGGTGTCGATAACATAGAATGGCTAGCGCTGCGATCAATGCAAAACTCCTACCCAAACGTTTTATTTTTCCTTGTATTGAAGAATTTTTGTAATCCTCAAATCATCTAAAACTATATCCTCTCTCTTCATTGCAGCACTGGCTCTATTCGAACATGTAAACTTGGTTTATGGAACTATTAGTGAATTTTGTACGCCATCTGGTTGTCCAGATATGACTGGACCAGGCAACAGGTATGCCATACTTTTTTCTTTCCTTGACTTTTTACAAAATATTTATTCTAATTATTATTATTTTTCTCTTCACTCTCTCCCGCCTAGAACGTACTTATGGTTCGATGAGAAAGGCAAGAAGACGCGCGTCGCCGCTCCCCAATACATCGACTATGTGATGACCTTCACGCAGAAGACAGTCAGCGATGAGTCGATATTCCCTACCAAATATGCCAACGAATTTCCAAGTTCGTTTGAATCGATTGCCCGCAAAATACTACGCTTGCAATTTCATGTGATAGCTCATCTCTATGCGGCGCATTTCCGAGAAATTGCGCTACTGGGATTGCACACCCACTTAAATTTGACCTTTGCGCACCTAACCGCACTGCATCGACGCTTCACACTGATCGATGAGAAGGAGACGGACGTGCTGCGCGATCTGGAGGTGGCGCTGCGCCTCACTGACGACGGTCAGAGCTCGCTCGCCTCATCTACAATTACAGCCACGACGGATGGTGGCAGCAGTAGCGGCGGCGGAGCTGGCGGCTGTGGCAGTAGCTCCACAACAGATAGCGGTATAGCGAATAGTAGCAACAGCAGCTGCAGCGGCGCGACTATAGCGACAGCACACGCTCACTCACACCAGCAGCCACATACGGGAGTAGAGGATGTCAATTTACTGCAGCAGCATTCGGCGGCGAGCACAACGCTCATCGATGGCGATGCGGCAGCGCCGCCCATTTGCACTCAGCCCGAGGCGCAGGCAAAGCAAGCGAACAACGCGCACGCATCGGCCGCAGCGGCGGTCTTTGGCGGCGGTGGTGGCCTTATCGGTGGCATACTGGGTGACTTGAGCAGCGGCGAATTCGGCGAAACGGCGACACGCTACTGCACCTCGGCGCTGCCACCACATAGTGGAGGAGAGGCTGGAGTCAGCGGTGTGGCGGTGAACTGCAATAATGGCGGCGCGGGCGCTTTGCACTTGAACTTCAACAATAATCACCATCATCACCACCATCACCAGCATCCGCATGCGCACCATCACGCGCAGCAGCAAGCGGCAGCTACACATCATTTCACGCAGCAACAACAACAACACCAACAGCACAGTGGCCTCATACAGTGCAATGCCAGCAACGCACCGAATGCGACCGTGGTCAGTGCATCAGCAACGAATGCCAGCACAGCGGCAACAACAACGACAGCATAGTTGCCACCAGGAACCGCAAGTAGCCCCAAAGCCACAAAAACAAATTCGAATATGCTCGAAGCTAAAATTGATGTTGAAGATGAGGAGGAGCAGGATGAAATGCGAGTTGCTGAAAATTTTGTTGATTATCCTAGACCAGCGACAGAAGCTATCGCTTCTACAGCCCTTTTAAGTGCTAAAACAAGTGCTACTGTTAATGCCGACGCCACCGTTGCTGCTGCCAACTCCAACACCGCCGCCGCCAATGTTGCCGCCACACCCATTGCCGCTGCTGTTTCCCTTAGCGTAGGAGAGAATGAACGGAACGAAGCCGATGCTGATGCTGTAGATGAAGGAGGCGCAGAAGTAGAAGTTCAAATTGAAGACAAAGCTAAATGTAATGAAAACAAAGATGATAATGTTAACGATGTTAAAAGTGTTGCCGTTGCGGCCGCAAAGGATGTATGACGCTTATTGCTTTATATTTACAATATATAGAGTAGTGTTAATTAAAACTTAAGAATACAACAAAAGCAAACAAAAATCGAAAGTTATAAAAGAAGAGAGAAAAGATGAACATACATTAATTAAATATAAATAATAACAATAAAAAGATATAAAAGTATGAAATGCAAAATAAAAAATAAGAAAGAGAAGTATATGTTAACGATGATTGTAGTTGTGTCTGTATCTGGTGTTACACCAACAAAGAAAACACAAATAAAAACTGATTAAAAAACAAACGAAAAAACTGTAAGAACAAACACTAAAATGAAAATCACAAACTTATTGAAGAATTAACCCAAGTAAATAAAGTAAATTTAAATAAAAGGCGTTAATAATTAAGCTAGCATTATTATGCACTGTGCAAGCGAAAATGAAAATCAATTAGTTGACAAAGCCACAAATCACGAAAATTTTATGAACAAAGAAAAAAAAACAAAAGATAAGAATCTTTCACCAGCAGCCACTCACACACACACGCACCTACTCACTTTTAATCTACTACTTATGTAGACACACCTCTCTAGCGTTTTCAATTAAAACTTAAAGCTATTTGATCTATTTTTGAAAACTGCAACGCTTTCTAGTTGGGAAGGAAGATTTTTTGGTGGATGCTGCTGGGTGACAGGCCGCATCCAGATAGTATATGTAAGTCTGTATCATTTCGATTAAGCAGTTTCGACTGTCGACTTGGCTCTATGTTGGTCTGCTAGAAGAAGTCGTAACTTTGCATCTTTAGCTGACTTGAGAAGCGGATCTTTGCAAATATGCACCTACTTTGAAAACTTTTAAAAGCACTTCTTTTGTATACAATGCTGAATCTTAATGATGTTATCAAATCCGCAAAATGATGTTGTCAAATCCACAATGAATTGGTTTATAGGGCGCCCTTTTTGCAATTAATATTTGGAAAAAAATTCACTTTTCTCTATCTGTCTCGTAGAATCATATAAGGTGATATCGATTCAACAAATGCAACAATTACTTGAATTTTGTTTTTGCTTTTAGCGTGCCATTGTCAAATTTCAGCTATTCTTCCCCGAATGAAGAAGAGCGACAGAAAATACAAACGCTCACGTTTTCACTCACTCACTAGCTAAATACAAAACTTTGACAATCAAACGCTACTCACACCTGATGATACAACACCTGCTTATATAAATTCGCCTTGTTGTAGAATATTTAAAGTCAAATGCGTTGAAAGGTTAGAAACGTTTGCATCGCTACTAGTGAGTTTCCGTTGGAAAAATCGAAGTTTTCGAAATAAAATTGTTTGACCCACTGTTGTTGTTGTAGCGGCTACCGAGCCGCGCTCGGGTCGGTTCATCCGTCAATGTTGTCGTCCGTTTCAGCTAAGAGCAGGCCTAGGAGGTGTGCGACTTCACCAGGGTCTGTCCATAGGGACAGGGGCCTCAGCTGGGTGGGGTTCTCAGGACATGTGAAGAGGTGCCGAGAGTCATGTGGCGACTCTCCACATGCCGGGCATTGGTTAGGCACATCCTCATTAATTCTACTCAGGTATAAGTTTAGCCTGCTGCAATAGCCAGAGCGAAGTTAGGCTATTGTGATGCGGGTCTCCCGAGGCAGACACCGGCTGTCCCGTCCACGTCCGGTGGTTGCGTACCTAGAACGGCATTCACAGGGCGGGAGTCTACATACAAACAGCACTCCCACACTTGACCCACTCGAATACAGCGCTGTGATTGGATGAAATCCGAGTTAAAAAAAAATATGAAATTTTTTAAAACTGGATTTTGGATGAAACAGCTTTTTGCTCCCGAGTAGGCGTGAATTTGATTTCTATGCTTTAGAAAATGCTGAGTCATGTGTCGTATTGTATGTAAAGCCAAAATTTTCGTAATTGCAAACTCTATAGTATAAGTGTTTAACTTTAGCACAGCCCTCCACTCAACTCGAAAGTGCAACAGTTCTCAAAACTTGCCTATACAACAACAAAAAAATTAAATATAAAAATGTTAAACAAATATGTGCGTGAACTCCATACAAACATTCAAAACATGAAATATTTTTGTAATTTTATTTAAAATAGTTTTTAAATTATTGCCCGTAGAAAAGTTAAAAATTACCAACGGTCAATTTGTAGTAGTAGTATGTTAAAAAAAATTCACACATCAGTGTAAAAAATGCTGTGTCATGTGCCTAGCAGCAGCTGACAGCCATTTTGCACTTACTTTGCTCGTGCTGAGTTTATTTTCGCAAGTTTTGTAAGCTTTTGCTTTAATTTTTCGCAACACACCAACCGCTTCTACCGTTACAATATTTAGTATTTGCTTACTCTTTTCGGCCCAATGGTCTACACCAAAGGAAAGTTAAATACAGATAATTATTTATTTGGCTACAGATAATATTCTATTGGGCTACAGATAACAACATTATGGCAAAGCTTTTAGTAGTTTTCGAAAAGATTTACGTTTAATTTAGATGTATGTGTAATAAGTTCCAAGTCGTGCTGACTTTGATATATTCTTCTAAGCGAAATAGCGCTGTGAATTCTTAAATAAGTTTATGTTTTAATTGGCAAAGATCTATTAATAGTGTTTAATTCTTTGTCTGTGGAAAATCTAAGTAATTCGATAAAAAATGTAAAGAAAGGACATCATGTTACATACCTTACAATATTAATCATCACAAGACACTATCGACATCTCATTACTATTCAGTTTTTTCTCGGTTGTTTACTTTATTATCAATTTATTGCAAATACTAATAGCTGCCTAATAAGCTTCATTCTGCCCTAAACGTTGGACTCAGGTTTCACATTGTACGTATGTGTGTAGTTTCAATGCGTTCAGCGCACTCGATACAGCCGCAAATAGACGCCAGTCTCAGTAGTTCATATGTAGATATATCTATGTGCACTGCTATGTTCCTACATATGTGTATGTGTGTGAGTTTCCACTCTTTAATTTTAATAATTTAGCTTTTCAAAAAATAAATAAACCGACAAAAAAGTTGCTTTAAAATGCCGTCATCCATTAAATATCCGCTATCACAAACTGAGCTACTAGGCATTGTTTGTTATGTCTCTACTCTCAAATTGTTACACTTGAATTAGTTTAGTTTTAAAACTCAAAAGAAGAAAAGTTCCTTATTTGTTCAGTTTTTTTCAATTTCATTTTAAAAATATTTTATATTTTATTTTGCTTTACAAGAACAAAGTTTCCCAATTCACTGCACTAAAAAAAAATGCAGTTTATTTTGCGAGCTCTGTACAATTAAAAAGAAAAAGCATAAAGTAGTTAATGGTATTTTCGTTTCTTCCAAAAAATATTGCCCTTCCATGCTGCAATATATGTTTGATGTTACACTCAACCCTGTAAAAGTGCATATTTTAGCTTACTTATCCTAAACTAAGTTCACGCATTTAACAATATTGTAGTTTTGAGCAATCCTCTGATTTTCAGGGCATACATCTGCCCTGAGAAAACTTCAAAGCGCACCAAGTGTGCCTTTTTTGCCTTACTAGAGTGTGAAATTTTAAGAAACGAACACAGATCTGCTCACCGGTTTGCCATTATTTTAGAATTGAACACGAAATTTTTTGGTTGAAACGAAAACGTCATAGGTCTCTAAAAAGAGTTTAAAAAGAAAAAATTAAAATAATAAACACTACAATAAAAAATATCATGTGTATATGTATGTAAAAAAATAAACAACAAAAACTATTATGTTCTATAGAAATGTTGATAAATATGTATCTATGCAATTATAGAAATTATAAAAAATCCCTATGCGCCCTCACTCCTCTCCCCGCCCCCATTAAGAATTAGCACTTTTATGAAATTCTATTTTAATTTAATGTTATGAAAATTATGCATTAGTTAGTAGTGTTAATATGCAAAGAAAGCAAAAACACAAAAACAAAAGGAAATGAAAATAGTTATGCAAAAAGAGCTCTAATATATATATATATATATATACGTATATGCAATTTTTATTAGTATTAAATAAAAAGTGAAGAGTTGATTTAATTTAGTGAAAAATTAATTAATAAAAAAAAACATAAAAAGCGTGTACGAGATTAGTTTTGTGTGTAAATAAATTCTAACGTTTCACTATTTCCTTTAAAGAGAAAATAAAAACAAACTAAATAGTGTTTTTGTTCTTATTTTTCTGCTGATCCACACTGGGGGTATTTTGCTCAAGGGCACCCATTTTTTGTTTCTCTCATTTGATGCATATTAAAAGACTGGTCAGGAACATCTTAGATCCTCCTGCTGCTTTAATAATAATAATAATAAAATAATAATAGATTGGCGCTTACACATATGTTAGTGTTGGGCCGAGCTTCTCCTCAGACTTGTGGCGTGCGCCTTGATGTCACACAAAGCGGAGGGACCTATTGTATTTTTATGAGAAGCTGGTTTTCATGGCAGAAATACACTCGGAGGTTTGCCATTGCCTGCCGAGGGACGACCGCTGTTAAGAAAAAACATTTTTCTAAATTTTTTGCGATATTGCTTTGACCAGGGCTTGAACCCAGGTGCTGATGAGTGAAAGCACGCACTGCTTACCACTACACCACAGCGGCTGCTTAAATAACCGATATTATATAAATATACAGCTAACGATTGTAAACTGAAACTCCAAAAAGAGGAAACGGATTTTCATACATAATCAGCCTCATTGCGTAATTCGCAAATTAGGCAAAAAAGTAGGACTCGACAACAACGAAAATCATCGAAAACTATGCAGTGCTGCCAAGTTTTTCGGTTTTAATACATTAGTCGAGTCGAAATTTTAGGCAATGTCATGAAATTTTCGATACGATTCGACTCTCGAAAAAACGACTTGCATTCGACACGACTCTCGCAATGAGACTGGATAAAACTTGTCTACAATTCAGAATACTGTGAAAAAATGGTTTAAAGGGGTTTTGTAGCTCAATTTATGTATAGGTATTAGGGTGATTGATTTTTAAAATATTAATTTTTCGAACGCCGAATTATCAGATCAAGTGATTTATTTAGTACAGGCAAGCATCTAAAAACTCACTGCAAATCTATTTTATTTTCTGAAAATGGAACTAGAAAATTTTGAAAAATGTTTTACCTGTTTGCGTTCGCGTACGCAAATTCCTTGCAAAGTAGGGGAAATTGGGAAAGCAAAGTAGCATTTCATTTTGAGGGGAAGCTGCTGGTTTCTGCTGGAAAAATTTTTGCCAACAGGAAAACAGCTGATCAAAAACAGCTGGTTTAAATTTACGCAAATCACAAAATTGAATTTAATGGTTTGGAAGTTAAAAATGTCAAAATGCGACTAATTAAATTTGTAAGGAGTAAGTAGTTATTTGTTTAATCAATAAACTGTGTCAGGATACAACTTTGTAATGTGTTTTCGTTCGTTTTAAATCTTACACTTTTGAATATAAACAAAAATTATATCAGCTGTTCGTCTAACTTGCA